ACCAACTCGAGCTAACCAATAAATGCAGTGGAGACGACGGTCACCAAATCTAGCAAAGGCACGCGGCTGCACTAGAGCGGCGCATGCATCACGATGGACGGGGCCCACTGACTTAAGGGACACCAATTTGATGCCTGGACACGCACGACTCCACGTGTTGACGGTCGAATGGCGAACAGTACTCCTAACAGTAACCAGCGGGCTTGCGAGAGCGCGGATTCTAGGTGCTATATGAAGTTTCATATATACTCCATATATATGTGAAATGCCAAGCACATCTGACATCTCCTAAGCATGAAGAACAATGTGAAATCGCATGAGAATTAACGGTGATCTAAAAGACGAGCCAGGCACTATATTCGTTTGAACTTGTTTGAGTTATAAGTAGTACTTTTTTAGCTAATGAATAGTATTTTTTTTACATCAAATTATTCAACAGTATTTTTAGTCATGACTTATCAGCCAAACAAACCAAAATGACGAGACTCTCATCTGAACTGGGGTAAAGCCGCTGTTCCGCGAGCATGCTGCATGGATTTCTGTCAGTAAAAGTACCTGGTTCGTTAATATTCACATCGATGCATTCGGTTTTTTTAGCTTCAAATTGTTGCATAGCTTCAAATTATTTATTCATAGTGCATACAAATACGTACAGTGTTCGAGAAGGACATAAAACGGATAACGATATCAAATACGGAGTAATATCACCGGATATCGGATAATCCGGATAAGTATCGGATATATCCGGATATTTAAAAACGGATATTATCAGAATATTTATTCAAAATTTAAAAATCACAAATTTGAACCATCCAAACTATCTCAAATGGAAAGTTGACCAAAACAACAATTGTAGATCTTGATGAGTTGAACAAACTTGGTATTCAAAACTTTTCAATTTGAAGTCATTTAGAGTTCATAATACTAGAGTCTAGTTGTTTTTTCATTTGACCAAATTTGACTTGGTCAAACTTGCTCAAATGAGCGTTTTAAATGACCTCAGATGAAAAACTCTGAAGTTTGATCATCTGCAAGATCTACAATTGTTTAGCTCATTTTCCCATTTGAGAAAGTTTTATCAAACACTAGTCATAAATTCTTGAATCTCATATAGACTTTACGAAACTATGTCACACACTTGTGAAATTTAAACTATATTTTGTTCAAACTTAAAAATGAAAAATGGCCTATATAAAGGATTGTATATCTTGATGAGAAACAAATTTGGTATTCAAAACTTTTCAATTTGAGACAATCTAGGGTTGAAACTAGATAATAAATTTAAAAATCACAAATTTGAACCGTCCAAACTATCTCAAATGGAAAGTTGACCAAAACAAAAATTGTATATTTGATGATTTGAACAAACTTGGTATTCAAAACTTTTCAATTTGAAGTCATTTAGAGTTCATAATACTAGAGTCAAAGTGTTGTTTTTTCATTTGACCAAATTTGACTTGGTCAAACTTGCTCAAATGAGACACTAAATGACCTCAGATGAAAAAACTCTGAATACCAAGTTTGATCATCTTAGCAAGATATACAATTGTTACATAGCTCATTTTCCCATTTGAGAAAGTTTTATCGAACACTAGTCACAAATTCTTGAATCTCATATAGACTTTCTGAAACTATGTCACACACTTGTGAAATTTGAACTACATTTTGTTCAAACTTTCTCAAATGAAAAAATAGCCTATATAAGGATTGTAGATCTTGATGAGCTGAACAAACTTGGTATTCAAAACTTTTCAATTTGAGACAATCTAGGGTTCCGAAAACTAGTTTGTAAGCATCGAAATTTAAAAATCACAAATTTGAACCGTCCAAACTATCTCAAATAGAAAGTTGACCAAAACAAGAATTGTATATCTTGATGAGTTGAACAAACTTGGTATTCAAAACTTTTCAATTTGAAGTCATTTAGAGTTCATAATACTAGAGTCAAAGTGTTGTTTTTTCATTTGACCAAATTTGACTTGGTCAAACTTGCTCAAATGAGACACTAAATGACCTCAGATGAAAAAACTCTGAATACCAAGTTTGATCATCTCAGCAAGATATACAATTGTTACATAGCTCATTTTCCCATTTGAGAAAGTTTTATCAAACATGGTCACAAATTCTTAAATCTCATACAGGACTTTCTAAAACTATGTCACACACTTGTGAAATTTGAACTACATTTTGTTCAAACTTTCTCAAAATGAAAAAATGGCCTATATAAGGATTGTAGATCTTGAATCCATGACCATGACTCCATGAGACCCATGAAGCAATGTGCTTGGCTATTTCTACTCATGCCTTGAAGATTGGTGCTTATATGATGTTTGATGTATGATGTATCTCGTATCTTTATCTTATTTGTTGCTTTACTCTTTAGTCTTTCGGCTTAATCTAGATGGATTATGGACTCATAGAGTGGTGTAATGGTTTGCACACGTATGATATATATATATATATATATATATATATATATATATATATATATATATCTTGCTTTTACTCAATATCCGAATAGATATTTGTATCAGACCTTTCTCGAATCCGATTCATACCGTATTCGATACTCATTATTCGTATCCGTAATCGAAGTCAATCCAGATTTCATATATGTATCCGAACGCTATCCGTGTCCGAATCTGAATCCGAACAGAAATATGAAAACAAATATAATATGAGTGATATCCGTTCGTATCCGATCCGTTTTCATCCCTACTGCTACGTACAGTGTTCGAGCAAGGACATGGAACGCGCGAGAACCGGCGGGCGGCCCACCTGTCAGACCTGTGCAAATCGGACCCAATAAGTTGTTTGCGCCTTTGTGAGCTAGCCGCTTTGGACTCTGGCACGTTGAAGGATTGCGTCCTTTTTCTTTTATTAGGTAGCGTGTTCGTACGTTGCTATAAAGTAACTAACAATTTATACTAAAAACATACCGATAGTATGATAAGATAATAATACTGTTAAATTAAATATCAACGTTAAAGTGACATTTAATCTAAAAAGCAAAGTTTATGAATTTAACATAGTCACGGAGTGCGCGACGTCGCAGGCTCACAAACTCTAGAGCTTTCAGATATTGGGTCGAATCAAACCTAGAGCCTCGGAACCCTGCATCTTTTCCTAGACGGGCTTCACTTCGGATGCGCCGGTAGCAATATCAACGATTCTTCGATCGATGGACCAAATCGTATGGATCCCTATACAATGGCTCAGACATGTAGATTTTGTTCTCCTTGTACTTGGATACACTTGTTTCACTAAAGTTTTCACTGAAATGTTTAAACACGGATAGTGTCTGATCATCGATATCCCTCACCCTGGACCACTCCGGCGTACGGTCGTGGAGGTTGCACTTGTAGAGCGCACTGCTGTAGGTGAAGATCTGTGTCTCGTAGAACGTGCTCACCATGACACCCATAATGTGCAGCTCACCATTTGATTCCAGATAGCTACGGTGGGAAAGCCCCGTAGGTGGCGACAGCGATGGCAGCAGCGTCGCGGTTGGAGTAGCGCCGGCGGCGTTGCTGCTGCAGATAGAGATTTCTCCAGTGCAGTCGATCGCCAAGAACTTGTCTTGGTAGTGGACGATGGACCCCACGGAGAACTCCAGTTTGGTGTCGAGCAGCGTCCATGCGCTGTCGACTCCAACCCGGCAGAACGCGACCTCCGTGGAGCACCCAAGCATGGCCATGGCCACGCACTCGCATGGCCGCCGGCGCGTCGGCGGCGAGAGCACGATCTCACGGAAGAACACGTCCCTCATGTCTTCTAGCTTGATGGTTTCGCCGCGGCATCCGCGTCCCGTAGCGTTGGTAGGATGGAGGACCCACCGTGGACCCTAGACGCGCGTTTGATGAGGACGCCGCCGCGACGTGTTGTTGTTCTGCTTGGCGGGAGCTCAACGCGGGGCTCGGCATCGCGGCGGATGGATTCAGCAGCGTCACGGACGCCGCCTCGTCCATGAGCGCCAGCCACCCACACGAGGAGCCGCACGCCATCTTGCCGCGCACGTCGGGCAACGTCTTGGACAAGACCTTCTCCGGGACGCAGTAGAAGCCGACGCGGTCCGAGTCGGGGTTGAACGGGAGCAGCAGGAGTGGCCCGAAGGTCGCGAACGGGACGGCGGCGCGCCATGGGGAGCAAGCGGATCGGAAGGACACCGCGTCGTGGCCTGACGCGAGACGCTACCCGATGGACTCAAGGAGATCCTCTGGCTGGCCGGATCTCTAGTCAGGAAGAGGTAGTGACCTTCTCTTGGGATTGGGAAGCTGAGCCATGGGAGACATATGACATCAACTATGGTTCACGCAAGAAATAGCAAGCGAGGACGATGGAACACGTGAGCGTGAAACCAAATAAAAAGAGAAAAAAGTTGTCCCTTTTGTAAATGCAAAGAGGGGAAGTAATTAAATGTAGGCAGATTTGACAAGGTTCTCAGAAATGCAAAGGGGTTCCTTTTATCTTAATTCTCTTTCCTTCTGTGTTAATTCTCTTTCCTTTTACTCGTTGCCATATATGCTGGTGCATGCAAACATGCAATGTGTATATAGATAGCACAATAATTTTCTATTTCCTATTTTGCCGTGATTCCTCTATCACATGACAGGCAATATTCAATCAAAGAAAATGACACGATCAATCAGTAATTAAGATGTCGTGGGATCGCAGGCATAGACAGACGGATAAATCAAAACAAATGTCGCACAAAAAAAAATATCCGCATTTTATTTTTTTTTAGTTGCATGAGATAAACAAACGCACGCTTGTAAAGCTTGTCCTTTGCAGGCCATGGGCCATGGCCCACCCCCTCCTTCTATTTCTCCCCCCTATATATGCAAAGCGAACTCTTCTACGGCCACACCGGCATTCCAGCACCACACCACACGCACTGCTGCTCTCTCTGATCTGCCCTCCATTGCTGCAACTGCAAGAGCTAGCTACTAAGTTGCTAGCTGCGCAGCACCGTACTACCGTGAGCTCGATCAGTTCCGAAGATGATCAAGCTGAGGTACCCCAAGAAGCTGTTCAGGAGGAGCTCCTCCAAGGGCAGCACTGCCAGCAGCAGCAGCGATGGCGATGCCGGCAGCGTCCGCGGCGGGGAGATCGAGTGGGAGGTTCGGCCCGGCGGCATGCTGGTGCAGAAGAGGGACGGCAGGGCGGACGTGGAGGTCATCACCGTGAGGGTCGCCACCGGCTTCTCCTGGCACGACGTCTCCGTTGTGGCTACCTGCACTTTTGGTGAGTACTCGTGCTCTGCATCTTTGCTGCTACTGTATTAATTTGCTCGCCAAATCTCTCATATCTAAAGTTGTGTACCACCATTGCTATGATTGTGCCTCCGATCCATTGTTCAGTACTTCAGTTGTAGTTTGGTCCCTGATGATGGATACTGAATACTGAAAGTAAGAATCAGCTGTGACAAGAACTAAACAGCTCAATACTACAAATTTTACACAACCTAAGCCAGATCCACGCACAGTGTTCCAGCTGGCTGGTTTGGTCCAGCACAGACCGTAAACGATCGTTGATTATTTACTGCTGGCTGATTTAGTGTGAGAGAAAAATACTGTTCTAGTCTATGGGGGTGTTTGGTTCTTTAGTCACTCTTAAAATTTATGTCACATCAAATGTTTAGAGGCTAATAAGGAGCATTAAATATAAATTAATTACAAAACCAATTACATAGATGGAGGCTAATTTACGAGACAAATTTTTTAAGCCTAATTAATCTATCATTAGCATATGTTTACTGTAGCACCACGTTGCCAAATTATGTACTAATTAGGCTTAAAAGATTCGTCTCGTCAATTAGTCGTAAGTTGTGCAATTAGTTTTGTCGGGTACCTTAGGACGGGGTACCCCGAGCGAACATCAAAGGGGTCACTTAAGTCCCATCAAAATACAAAGCTAGAAGGTAAGCCGTGGGCCCCTCACCCGCCACGTCCGAGCCCGCCAGGCTCTCCGCCTCATCTCGAGCCTCGCGCAGAAGGTCTCGACGTCCTGACGCAATCTCCGCCTCGCGCGAGGCTCTCCACGGAAGGCCTCGGCGGGGAACACAATCTCCGCCTCGCGCGAGGCTCTTCACGGAAGGCTTCGGCAAGGAGTCCGATCTCCGTCTCGCGCGAGGCTCCGCCCTCCGTCTCACGTAAGGCCTCATTCTCCGTATTGCGCGAGGCCAGCTTATCCATAGTCCGTCGCCCCCGCTTCGACCGACCCTCCTGACAGCACGTCATGTCCCATTAATACTTCAACCACTCCCGCAATCTCAGCCGGACGACGGCTTGACACCACAGAATGGCCGACGGGACCTGAGGTCGCATCAACGCCATACCGGCTGGGACAGGGCGCGGCAGGGATTACCGGCCACTGTGTTCTGACGCTGTGCCCACGATCAGCGCCCACACTGCACTGTGCCCCGCGATCCCCGCCTCGAAAACAACATCGCGCGGACTACTTGGCCCGGGTCATCACCGCCTCCAAGCCAGCGCGCCAGATCAGCCGCCCTCTCGGAGCCTCGGCACTATACACCAAGGTCTCGGCTATCTCGGGGTTCGTGCTCGCCGAGACCCCCGCTGCGGTGCAGCCTCGGCACTGACCGAAGCCTCGGCCTCACGCGCCGCCAATCCACAGCGATCCGCGTCCTGGCCGCCGCGCCTGCTCCGAGGTAGCCCAGAAGCTCCCATGATGCACAGGGTCAGACATGACCAGCACGTCGCCCTAGTGCTCCAAGGACGGACCACACCGACGACCACGCCGCCACAGGAACAGGCCACAGGGCTCGGACACACCGCCTCTGTTGGCACGACGCCGTATAGTCAGCACATGTACTGTCCTTGTCCTCCCTTCAACTATAAAAGGAGAGGACTTGGACCCCTTAGAAAATATATAGAGGGAGAACACCTGGTAGCTCACACACATACACATCCCTAGCCGCCTGAGAGCAACGTCTCAAGCAGCCCACACGACACCTCGCCGAGACCTGGGATTAGCTCCATCTCTCCCTGTGCTTGTAACCCCCTACTACTAGCACATCGGTGCAAGGAATACAAGATCGATCTCTTAGACTAGACGTAGGGCATCGATTGCCTAAACTAGTATAAACCTTGTGTCTCTTTGCATCACCATCCAGGATTAGGGGCACGTAGTTCAAATTCACTAGTTGGTAGAGGACCCCCGGTCCGAAACACCGACAGTTGGCGCGCCAGGTAGGGGTTACTGCGTGTTAGCTTAATCATCCCAACAAGTTCCGGATGGCAGACCCCATACGACCACTACATCTTGGCACGATGATCTGGTTCGGGAGCCTAGAGTTCATGTCTCTAGATACAAGTACGACATGGTACTCCTCCCACCCAGAGCCCCGTCAATCGACGGCGACATCACGCACCAGCAGCCCAGGCGCGGGCGGTGCTCGAGCCGCCGCTCTCGTCACGCTCGCTAGGCGCAACGCGGGTAGGACCACCCCGACACCGCGCGAGCTCATGGTGGCGCACCGCGTTCTGCCGGCACCCCATGTCCAGCTGTTGGCACAAGGTCCCTGGTTGGGGACCTGACTTGCCTGAGCCTGGACATGGGCGAAACGCCGGCGGCATGCGGCGACGCCCCGTCGGTATCCCATGCCCGACTGTTGGTACAGAGTCCCTGGTTGGGGACCTGTCTAGCTTAAGCCTGGGCAGGGGAAAGACGCCGGTGGCACGGAACGACGTCCTGCCATCAAGCTCTGCCCCGCCACCTCCTGAGGAGCCGATTTCTTTCATCACCCCATTCGACATGTACTGCTATGTGACTGTGCCATTCAATCTCAGAAATGCAGGGGCCACGTACCAACGGTGCACCACCCAGGTCTTGGGCGAGCACATCGGGCGAACCGTCGAGGCCGATGTGGACGACATCAAGGACAAGTCCAGGAAGGCCAGTGACCTCATCGACGACTTGGAAGTTGGTGGCCCGCCCAATTACTAAAGCACGGGACCTACAAGCTGGCCAACGAGAAGGGCGAAGTCTTCACCAACGCTTGGAACATAGAACAGATACGTCGCTTTTATCCCTAAATTTCCAAGCATTGTATATGTCGTTTCTCGAAATACAATTAAAAAGCGTTCTTTAGTTGGTCTAATATTTTGAGAAACCCCCCGAGCCCATCGTAGGTCTCGGCAATACAGTAACACGACAAGGGAGGCTCGGCTCTGCCTCGGCAGAACCAAGCCTCCCTCGGGGGCTAGATGGGGGACTCCCCCTAGGTCCCACGCACCATTCTTCAGTCGTTTTTCGCAAAAATTCATACGCCAAAACTCTAGCATGCTCCGACGAATCGGTTGTAAAAACCCCTCGGACCAAGGTCTGTTTCCTAAGCAAGAGGCCGGTAGAGTCGCGAGACGGCCTACGCCTCCGGGCTATGGCACTCCCTCACTACCTCTCGCCCAAGGGACGGCTTAGGCCCCAAGGGGGTGTTTTGCAAAGCGAAATCTGATCAGGAGCAACAGAGGGCAGAGGCTCGGAAACATGAGAAAAACAACTAAGAAACACAAATACTTCAAAAATAAAGGCCTCGACGGCCACAAGCGTTACGATACAAAAATAACTCCTACTCTATTTTTACATAGCCCCCAGGGCCTAGATCAAGGCTCAGGGCCTTCAGCACCGGCAGATGGTAGGGGAGGAACCACCTCCTCTTCGAAGAGCGTCGCCAGCGCCGTGCCAGGGCCTTCCGCCGCCTCCATCAGCTTCATGAGCGCCGCGTCAGCTTCCTCGTCATCATTAGGCAGGACATACCCATCACTGATGGCCGAGAGGTCGACGCCGACGTAGTGAGAAGAGATGACGGCCAGCGCGCGCTTGACACCCGTGTGCAGCGCTCCTCAGAGCCGCTCGCGCATCTGGTTGCTCAGCGTGATCAAACAGCTTCCTAGGGAGCTGCCTGACTGAACCCCTTCAACCTCCAAGGCCTCGCAGGCAGAAAGGGCAGCACGTTTCAGTGCCTCGTGCTCCCCGATCTTGTTATCGAGCACCGTCTGCACCGCGCTGGAAGCCTCGGCTGCCCGAGTAACCTCCGCCTCTGACTCTGCACCATGGAGAATAGAGTAAGGTTGAGCGAGGGAAAAAACAACCTAAATTAGGAGAGGAAGCCCACGGAACTCACCCTTGGCCTTCAGCTCCCAGTGTCGGGTCTCGACCTGACAGGCCTCGGCTTTCTCCTTCCAGCGCAGGGCCTCGGCCCTGGAAGCCTCGGCCTCCTCCTTCAAGCGCTGGGCCTCGACCCGAGAAGCCTCGGCCGCCCTGGAAGCTTCACTCCCCAGCTCTGCGTCACACAAGGGAGTTAGGGAGCGAACATAAGGAAAAGAAAACAAAATGAGGGGACTAAGACTCACCCTCGACTATCCCCTCCAAACCATAGCCTCGGTTCGCGAGGCCTCAGCTGCAGCAAGGGCCTCATCCAAGGCACCTTTCGTCACCGGTGGCGCCCCTGATTCGCCCTTGTTGCCCAATGAGAGCCGTGGCCAAGGCCGTAGCATCAGTGGCTCGGCCCCTGAAGGCATCTCGATCGCTGACCACGCGGGTGAGCTCCTCCTCCAACTCCTTGACCCGCGCCGCCAGAGGGGCGAGTTGCGTCTGGGCCGTGGCCGCCTCGACCTTCGTGTCAACACAACGAAGGCGGAGGTCCTCTACCTCTGTGCTCCGCGCCGACAGGAGCTCGTTGGCGCCGGCGAGAAGGCCCTCCTGCCGCTGAAGCTAGTCCCAGATGCCCCTTTCCCGCTGGAGAAAGACCAACTTCCCAAGGGACCGGGTCTCGAGCTCCTGGGGAAGCAGAACAGGGGTCATTGATTGTAACAAAACCAGAAAAGGACAACGTCGCGTGAAGAAAGGAAAACACAAACCTAGGCGACTCCGGGCAGGTCGTCGGCCACCACGGACAGGGCCATCCGTAGCGACCGCTCCGCCAGCTGACGGTATTGCTCGAAGGTGCCCCAGCGCCCGCCCTCGGCTGCGTCCTCGAGGGCGAACAGAGGCTCCCCCTCAGGGTCATCCTGGCTCCGCCACAGTACCCGCGGGTGATCCCACCCGCGAGGCTCGGGTCGCACCCACACGAGGGCCAAGTTTCCCTCATCCAAGATCGGCGTCGGCTGTCCCACGGCACCGGCATCCTCGGCGTCGACCACCTCCCACGCCCGGAAAGTATCGTCGGAGGAGATCGGATAGACCTCCGTCTCCCGGGCGCTCTCTCGCAACTTGGAGAGTGCAGCCGCCGGCCCTCGTCGCCTTCCTCGTACCCGACGTGCCC